ATGAATGTGTTTCTAAGTTAATTCTTTCATTACAAAAAACTTTCTTGTGGTATCCTAAAATTTTTATGTATTATACTTCCAAGTTAGATTTTAACAGAATATACAATCAACATATCATCAATATTAAATCCGTTTTTATCATTATAATTTAGACCAAGACAAAACGATGAGATAAAATTATAATGATCTCATTACATAACATTATTTATTGACTGTCTACTTTTGCAATAGAAATAACTTCAATAACATTGATTTTGATAATTCAATATAGAAAAGAATGTAGTCATTATGAATGCGATATATTTTGTTAAATAAAATTTCAAATACTCTCAATAAAATCAAATCAACGAAACGTGTCGTCGGTATCACAGAACCATTCCATACTAGCGGAGTAAAAAGCAGACTGTCTCCCTAATTGGCTTTGAGCTGGCGGAACCAGATCATGATTGATTGACTACGAACTTAAAATACACCAAAAAATCATATATCGAAGAAACAGGGAACGGCTTAATGTAAAATATAAGACTTTATGTTACTATAATCAGGTTTAAAATTAAATATTATCAATAACGTATCTTATTTAAAGAGATAGAGTAATTTAAAAAGAGGGTTGATGTCAGGCAGAAAGACGGTCGTAAAAACAAGTAGCCAAAACTATTTACATGTAAGGCAGACCCTGGCTTAAGCTGGGGAATTGCCAGGTAGAAGAAGAGAGAAGAGGGTAATTTAAATATATTATATCAGTTATTCAGAACAGCTTCATTATAAATACCACAGGATAATGCAGCTTGTACACCAATAATGTTGCTCTTATAAGTATAATTATTACGAAATCGACAGTGATTGAATGAAACAAACACTCATTATATTTAAAAAGTACTTACTAGTGGATATTTGAAGAATGAAACTACTTATAATACTTGTAGAGCGATTGATTTAGGGAACAAGTAGCATAGGTTTATAAATTATAATTTGACCTCCTTATAAATCATATATATACACCATATTTTTGAATGTTACGTTTGTTGTCTATGACTCAAGATGGAATAAGTTTTATGGTTACAGATAACGAACCATATCTGTTCATATATTTCCTAATTATCTGAAAACATAAATCCCGAGGAAGTTATATTGACAAGGCTATCTGTGATGAATAATGAAGGGAAATTCTATGTGACCCGAATGGGAATCGAAAGCTTTACGTTACGGTGACCCTAGACTCTACAGTCTACAGTCTAGACTGTGTCAGACTGTCAGGTCTAGTATATTTGTGATAGAACTTTTTATATAACCAGTTTGTTGTTGTTTAATGAGAAAGAAATCTTTCTTTTCCCACTACTACTTCACACACTAGATTTAATCTGCACATTCCGGATTTAGAGAGGTTTTTATAATTCATATTATGCATAATTTCTTTTCTTCTATACTTATTTAGTCTTTAGGATCTATTTACGATCTTTTTTTAGGCATATGATAAATGAGCATGTGTGTGTATGTCATTACTACTCTAATAAAAGTAAGAAAATAGTTGTGAAGAAAATGTAAGTAACATATCTCTGAAATATTAATTAAAAACGATTACATATTTCTTTGTATTGTTTCAGTACATCTTTCAAAAGATCAAACTTTTTCTACCATCCTGGCAGCAAATAAATATTCAAAATTAAATAACAGCACCTACCAGAATCACAAAATAAAGCCTAATTTCAAGTGACCGCAATCTAACCACTCAGGTTAAAACCATTTTGGTGTATTTTAATATGTTTTAAAACTAGTCAACATTAAAGTTAGTAGAGCGCAATGAAATGCTTTTGGGTTGTTGAAAAATGTTCAAAAGAAAGTTTTGTTGAGAAAACTCTTTGGTTTATAGAATTATAAAATATTTAAAAAAAACTTGTAGGAAATAACGAATTATACTTATATAGTGTACTCTATCAATAATCAGTGATTGGACAGAACAAAATCATTTTTATCTTGATCCAATCCTTCCATACATGTTTATTGAACGGCGAGTATTTCTCAACATTATCTCTTTAATATCAAGGAGCACAGATCACGATAGTAGAGAATTTTAATGATTGTTCTGGATGGTGTCCTACATCAGCTAAGCCATGATATCTGTATGTACGTCTGTTGACAAAGAGCGAGCCGTCACGAGTTGACCCTGGTGTCCCGACCGATACTCATGAGAACCAAATTACTAACATACCATTTGTTCTTTTAAACTATGCTTACAGTTTACGATTATTCTTTATATGACTTAAAAAATCAATGTTAGCAAATATGTATATTGTGATTATTAATTTGTTATGGTTTAGTTGAAGAGAAAATATAGGACATAAGAAGTAAAATCGAGAATTTCTGAAATACCAACAAGTAAAAACAAGAGCAACATCGAGATGTTAATCCCAAACTATGTATATGAATTACTATTTGAATATATATAGCTCTGAGCTCAGTGTTAGTACGTAATTTAAGTATATTTGTCTCTATAACATGATGTACTTTGATATCTGTTTCCGTGTCGACTTGGGTGGTAGAATGTATGTAATAAACAGTAGATACATTCGGTCAACAATGCTGAACAAATAGTAAGGGTAGGCGAGGTTGCGAATTCTGATTCCACAGGCGCCTTGCCCACTCAGATACCGAGCTAGATTGTACTGAATTATGACGTACAATTTGATATTGTTTTGAGGCGAAACTAGCGGAGATATTAGCGAAAGTACTGGCCATTGTTTTTGTACCGGAGTAAATTTATATCTAAATGGGACATCATATGTTACTCGGATCGCTCGAGAGGTGTGTGAATATCCGTCGTGGATATTATAATGGGCTTTTTGTTGTTTCGTTTTCAACGACACGGACAATTAGATATTATATTACGGAATCTATTCATTTGTTTAATATTTAACTTTGTTTTTCTACATATATAATACTTAAACTGCAGGGGACAAAATTTTTAATGACTACACACGATTGCTTTTATTATAGAATATTTGTGACATTATCAATTGTGTTGTCCGATGGTCACGATAGCAGAGCTTTCAACAATGAACCGTTTGGGAACTGAGTAACTATTGTTTTGTAACTTAGTGGTGGACAAGTATTTCGACATGCTGTGCGTTCTTCGCAACCGTGTGTCGTAAGTTAATTAGCGGAGAATTGTTTGTTAAAATTACTTAGAAGATGTGTTTAGTTGGTTGTTAATAAATTTAGCATTGTCGCTTACATATTAAGTTTACTTTCATACTTTATAATAATTTAATATTGCGCAATGTATTAATTTAACATCACATGTTTTTTAATATTAATTCATTAGTATTGTACTCACGGTACATTACCTTCGACGGTATTCTTTTGATGTTTAATATTATTATTAATATTTAAAAAAAATAAAGGACCCGATGATTGATTACTATAATCTCAACCGAGGTCGGTTATTGCGAAATACATCGATGATTTTGTCTACTTTCAGGGCTGTCTTTTCATGTATTTACATTATTGATTATGTTTTTTTGATAATTAAGACCAAAGTCAGTCATCATTCTGACATTAATTTAAATTAATTGTCATAAATTCTTCTACAGCTATTATATTATTGCATCGCAAGTTTTGCTTTGCATTTCAATACAACAAAATGTGACTGTGATTTTGATGTTATTGATAATTTTTTATATTGATTTTATATATTTTGATTTTATAATGGTAATTAATATATTATTGTTGAATGGATTGACGCAATGATATAGATTTGATTAACAACACCGCACTTTCAACAAAATGTATATACATTATACATATCTATATATATACATATACGACTTTGTATATTATGTTTTAGTTCAGTGATAAATAATATTTTGTGTGTAAACTATTATATGTATAATTAATACTCTTATAATAATTGTTAATTATAATTTTAAGTCAGAATATTTTTGTTGTTTTTACCTATAAACCTACTATTTTAAACTAATGTATTTCTATATAAGTCAAGTTAAAGTAACATTGTTTAACATTTAGACCCGGCCTCTATCTCTGTAACATATTCGTGTGATCATAGTTCACTCTCTATTAAGGCGTTGCTGTATTTCTGTTGTTGTCTGAAAAGGCTTTATAATATGCCTATCTAACTATCTGAGTGATAAACATTTTGTATGGCGGACATTTAATGTTATTATTTATGTCGCCATTTTGTTATTTACATGCATCGATTTGTTATTACTATAGATTCTCGATTATAATTCACGTCATATTTCAAATAAAAACGTTATATATATATATATATATATATATATAAGATATTAATGATTTGAAGTTTAATTATTATTTTATTGTTATGATTATATTTTATGGTGTATTTGAAAATTGTTGATGAAATTTATTATTACATATGTTTTGATGGTACCTCAATGTTTTAAATGTGAATCGAGTTACTGTAGTAGTGTCTTAATCAGGGTTATCAGTAGTTAAATGTTAAACGTGCAGTCCCTGGAGAAGGGACCGTGCGAATACTGGAACATTTCGTCACAGCTCGCCACTATCGCCCTTATTACTAGCTAGCTATCCTATTGATAACTATTTGATAATATTACAAAGGTTTCTGATAATATAATATTTATCGGATCTCTTAGAACTGAGATACGATTGATAAATATCATTTCTTTATATTATTGTTTTGGTTTTTAAATCTTTATATGTGATAGGAAAATTACTGCTGAGGTATTTCTTAGAATTAGTGTTAAGTATTAGTAATTTTATTTATAAGTTAACGGAAAGGTCTCGGAAATCCCTAGCGTAGAGGAAAAGTTGATTGAATTAATTTATTTTTAATCAAATCATATTACAAGCCTCATTTGAGAGGTACCTTACAGGACAAAACGTTTGTATAGTGAGTTCATGGTGAAATAACTATTTAGGTTCAGCGGCCCCATAAAGCAGCTTCGAGCATACCTTAGGGAGTTGCCAGACGGTGCGAACAAAAAACCGATTTCATAAAACTATGCACCCGACTGCATACATGGTCCACAACAATAAATGAGCAAAGCCAGAACCTGATGCTTACTGCCGATATCCGTCTCGCCCAGCGTAAACATGCCGACTGGGGAGTATTTTACATCCATCGAACACAAACTATGACGATCATGTAACTTAAATCAATATAAGCAGCAATGTAAAACGTGTTTCCTTTAACACGATGCCGCTGACCGCGCTGCAGTAGTGGAATCTGCAAGTTCGTCACTCACACAGAAGTATGTGTGACGTTGAGAAGGCTTCCACTGCACACTCGTTAAGCCCGGGACCGCGTCAGTCTGCACCGAGCCGCCGCTCGAGTAGCACGTGTCGTACTCTATCGCCACAACGGTACACAGATCGCGAAAAAAGTTTAACATACGAAACTTTCTTAAGACTTTCCTTTCAACCCGAAGACTGTTGAAGTGGAACTGTCTGCTTCATCCGGCTACCGATGAGAGTGACCTTTCCTTAAACCGGAATTCGGTACCCCAAGAACGAGTTTATTCTACGGACAGTGCAGGACGTTGGTGAAGTGATAACTTGATTTTCAGTGGTGTGTTCAGTGTGAGTGACTGGATATTCTCATTGCCATTACATACAGGTCAATAGGAGGACTGCTCTCTGCCTCTTAAGGTCGGCTAATCATAATAGTGCTGTTAAACTTTATAGTAAGTATCGATATAACAAAAACTATTCAAAAATAACTATAACAGTAGATAACTGTTATCAATACACGCCATCAATAAAAGTATTTAATTATATTTTTTTCAAAATACATATCAAGTTTTATTTCATTAAAATAATAATAATTTCCTAATTCTAACTTGACCTACGATTGTTATAAAATCCATTAAATCAGAGCAGAGTTAAATAACTTAAAATATTGCATATTAAACAATTCATACACTAGTTAAAACAGTACAACTTACAAAATATTCAAAAAATTATTCATACGGTAATAATTATAAAAAATATGATTACTTAATTTTATTTTCTTATAAAACAATTCGTAATATAAAAATTTTATTTGAGTACGTAAGTTATCTTATCGCAAATTATTATATAAAGTCGAACGATGCGTCTCAACTGTGAATATTTTTGTATAGTGTAATTTGTTCGTATTAATTCAATTGTAACAGTATTCTTTGAACAAATGAAATGTAAGACAAATCTACTTGCAATTTACATATTTAGGAAATGCGGATGGCCTCGATAGAGTCAATCGAAAGTACCATGTGTCCATTGCGAATCTATTTAGAACAGATGTGAGGGAGACCTTCAGTAAAACGACAATGGAACAAATACAAAAATTATGATCTTATTATAAATATGTGTTTTTGTATAAAGATTATTCGTCGTGAACTTTTCGTCGTTCGGACCTCGTTTAGTTTTTCTACAGACGACCTCGCTCTGTAGTGTTTAATAACAGATTTGAGATTTCATTTCATAATTTTAAGCATAAAAAAAACCTTTTGTCGAACTCTTTAAGCCAATTAGTGAAATCGTTTTTTAATCATTTATTTAATACTAGGTGATTAAAATTGTGTGGAGTGTTTGTTAATTATAGTTATTTATTTAAATACACTAATATTAAATTTCTTTGATTAATTAATCTATAATAAAAAAGAGTAAAAAACAATTCGTATTAATATAATATACATTTAATTTTAGAACATTCTCACTGGCTGGCATTACGTTCGGAAATTATAATTTGCAAAACAGTTATAAAATGTACGGCTGTCTACATTTTATACATTTCTGACATTGATAGAAAAAAAAACCAAATCATCGGTGCGTTCGCAGCGAGCGGTTCATTGAATTACGTGCCAAAATATACTTGATTAAACAATAACTTAATATTGAATATATATTATAATATTATAACATCAATATTTTTTAAGTATAAAAAAGGTTTTTCTTGCTAAGTTACCAGTTACAAAACACGCTAATTCTCCACATTATTTATATAAAATAAAAAATTTTTTAATACTTTATTTTTTTATACTAATATTTTCGTTGCATTTCTACATTCCGTTAATAATGTTAAACGTTTTTTTAGACACGTATTCAGTTACTTCATATTGTTAGTAACTGTGTAAGGCTCATTGTTCTTGTTCATGACCTTTTCAATTAGGTTCTGTTAAATGCACTTCGAAATACTGCCTTTTAAATGTTAACCTGATTTCGGCTGGTATTTTATTAGACTTATTCTTAAAGCGTGTTTGTTCTGGTGCAGTATTTGATGCAATGCTGAGTATCACGATCAATATCAAATAATTACTATAAAGTTTATAATTTCTTAAATATTTTGGAGATATTTTTATCTCACTTGCAAATTAAGTCGAGTGAAACTGTTCTTGGAAGGTCATAAATATTTAAAAATCATTAACTACACAGGATTTTAATCATTACACTGTCAAAATTGACATTTGCAATCGATTTACAAAATCAATATTTTATCACCAACGCGTGACAATATTGCGCCATGACATAATATTGTCAAAATGGTATCGAAAAATCGCGGTTTTATTTAAGTAATGTATGTTTAAAACATTATTTATTATGCTTAAAGTAACAAAATTATATGAATAAAGTAATAAAAGCTTTAAATTCAGATTAATTTCATAGATAAGTAAATGCGATTATTAAAGCTCCGCCAAAGTAACAGAGGGCGTTGACATCATATTATAAAGACAGTGATTAGAACAAGCGTTGACGAAAACAGTGTAATGAAAATAAAAATGAAATATGAAAATTACTAATTTTATATAACTATTCCGCTATGTTTTAATATAGAGATTATTTTTAATAAATCCCTACATTAATTATTAATTATATATATAAATAGCATATATATTTTTTAAATTAAACTGATGCGTGTGATGAAACATAAAAGCACGACGCTCATATCAAACATGGCCGACCTTGTGTTTATTGAGAAACTGACAAACGGTCGCTAAATGACAAGTGCTATGTTACTGAAGTGTATTAATATTTACTCACACTTATTTACATACTTTTTGGCATCCATTTTGATATAAGTAAATATTTTATCAAATTTAATAAACAGCTTACGAAAGATTTTAGGAGTATTCATATGGTAAAAGGTTTACAATCTTGGCTTGGCTATGTAAATGTTTAAAAAAGGTACGAGTGTATTTTAGCATTTGAAGTTTTAGAGTTGTGTCTTTATATGTAACTAGTACAGACTTCATGGTGAATACACATAGTTTCTTGTTAAATGTTCAAATGATTGTTGAGTACAAAAAGCTTTTTAGTCATAGAGCGTTTCGCCTTTCGGGAATCCTTTTTATAATGGTTTTATCATAAGTTTGTTTTTCATGAGGGTTAACCGCGTTTTTAAGTTCTTCTAGTTCATATGTCGACATCATATCCGCTTATAAAATATACTAGAAAGGTCAATTGAGAAACAATTTTACGAAAAATATATGCAATTAATTTATTCGTCTTAATCATAATTCTATTAATATGTATTTATGCAATTTATCTCTTTTTATCATATCCTTTGCGACAAAAGAAATTTAGAAACTATATTATTTAATTATAAGACATATATTTAGTTTTTGTTTATGATGACTTAAAAAGGAAGTAATTTACATTCGTTAAGAAGAAAGATATGTGAAAATGTCGAATACTTACTATAGACGCATTTATTATAATTATCTCAAAATAAAAGTAAGATATTTTTACTTTACAGATTATTATCTATACGTATAGGTTTGAAAAAACGTTTTAATTACCTGTTACTATTTTATAAAACTAAGATATCAATCAATTACTGACATCGCAATTTTTAACAGCATACCATACTCTATTGATATAGAGTATACTTGATCTGATGATCAAGTATAAATCTAAAACCTTTGATTACATTTCAACAATTCCAACTCCGACTTTTTTCTCTATTGTTATTTTCTAATCGGTTTCCAGACTTATAAAAAAGGATAATAATGTCTGGATATCATGGTATGCGGTCTCAAATGTTTGCAATCGTCGTTAAATGTCCTTCCATATAAATTATTTTTATTTTTATATAACGTTGTTTTCAAATACTTCATATTATAAAAAGAAACCTACGCTTTAGGAAAATAAACTCCAAATCTTAGTGGGCTTTGTCCGAAAATACGGTTAAAAATATCTGGGACTTGTGGAAAATACGAGTATATTTTTTTAAAACTTAGTAATAATTACTAATGATAAGAGAAAAGACAGTAAAAAACTTCTGTAGGTACTAATTTTGACGGTTCAATTTAAACACATTTGACAATACTGACTTTGACGTTTTAATGACTTTTAGTTCTTTTGACATATACTTTTTATTTGGCTAGAATACATTGATATCTTTGTACAGGAAAACATCCGAACCGTATTGGTATTTACGATACTTCACAATACTGTTTTCAATGTTCATTGGTTCGTGGAGACTAAGAACTTATTTGATTGGTCATTTCTGTAATTATTGTTGTATAGTAGTGTCACAGCATACAGATAAAATATATCAATTTTGGCTGTAAGACAGTACACAAATTTTGTTTTAGATTTAATCAGTTACATAAGGTTAGCAGGAAAACTATAGAGCCATGAGCGGATTTCCTAGATTCCTTTCAATTATCGACTTACATCTAATTTATACAAGAGAGTGAGGCATTTTTTCCTTTAGGTCACTTCTGCTTTGACGGTAATTACTTGTTTTATTCAAAAATAACTCCGCAAATTCAAAAAACTATAAAACCTCGAGTGTCCAACGTGAACAGTCATTCGTTTTCACCTGAATCTACATATTCTTTCTCTTCTGTACCGTTTTTCATTAATTTAAAACGGACATGTAAATTTTGATTAAGTTTCTCAAAACAAACTATTTAAGATCCTTTGACAATTCCAGTCCTTTATATTAAGTTTAAATAACAATAAAATTTTATTAGTATGAATATGGAATTGTATCTTAGTATTGTTACTACTTTATGGCATTGAACACAGAATTTATCCTAAACGATTTTTTTAATCAAAATAATAGCGTAATATTTGCATATAGCGTTCCTTTTTTTATGTACATAGAGTTATTTACCGTTACCTTTTATTAAAAACGTTAATATTGAAGTATGTATTTTGATATAATTTAACTCTTTAACTTTTCTTAATTACGCTTTTTTATAACTGAAGAATGCTTGGGAGATTTTTTGGCAAGACATTCTTGTTTCAATACAACAATATAAAATACTCAGCAATAAATATAATTACAATACAATGCCAGCGCCTGTTCTGGACACACATAAATACAGTTTAAGTCAGTTGTTAATATAAATACGAAGTATCACCTCAGGCTTGGTATCGCTCA